CTTTGGCATTTCTTGGATTCGCACGGATTCCTATCGAATTTTGCCCAATTCGGTCAGATTCTAGATTTAAATTTTTTCGACTCTTTGGATTTCTCACGTTTTTCCGATTATTTGTGTTTTTTAAGTTCCGTTATATGGGTTCCTGGGTTTCCCCAAGTTCTTTGGTTTGCCTTGGATTGTCTCGAGATTTTACCCGATTTTTCCGGATTCTGTTCGATTTTCTTGGATTCTTTCAAATTCCTCCGGATTCCCTCACATTCTCTCGGATTCTTCCATATTCTCCCGGATTCTCCGTCACTTTCTCGAATTTTTCCGGATTCTCCTTGATCCTCTCCGAATTCTTCGGATTCTCTCAGATTGTCTCATATTTTTTCGAAATTTATTCAGTTCTTTGCGATATTCTCTCGTGTTCTTTCGGATTTTCAGAGAATCCAACAAAATCTGAAAGAATACGCAAAGAATCCGAAAGAATACTAGAGAACCGAGAAAATCCGAGAGAAATCAAAAGAATCAAAAAACCCGTCTAAGTCTTAAAAAAAAAGATAGAATTCGAGAGAAACTGGAAAAATCCACGTGAAACTGGAAAAATTCGACAGAACACAGGAGAATCCGAAAGAATACGGAGGAATCCAAAAGAATCCGAGAGAATGTGAATGAATCCAAGAAAATCGAACAGAATCCGGAAAAATCAGGTATTTTCCGGATTCTGTTCAATTTCCTTGGATTCTTTCAAATTCTTCCGGATTCCCTCACATTCTCTCGGATTCTTTCATATTCTCCCGGATTCTCTGTTATTTTCTCGTATTTTTCCGGATTCTCCTTGATCCTCTCCGAATTCTTCGGATTCTCTCAGTTTTGCTCATATTTTTGCGAAATTTATTCGGTTCTTTGCGGTATTCTCTCGTGTTTTTTCGGATTTTCAGAGAATCCAACAAAATCTGAAAGAATACGCAAAGAATCCGAAAGAATACTGGAGAACCCAAGAAAATCCGAGAGAATTCAAAAGAATCAAAAAACCCGTCAAAGTTATTTAAAAAAAGATAGAATTCCAGAGAAACTGGAAAAATCCACGTGAAACTGGAAAAATTCGACAGAACACAGGAGAATCCGAAAGAATACGGAGGAATCCAAAAGAATCCGAGAGAATGTGAATGAATCCAAGAAAATCGAACAGAATCTGGAAAAATCAGGTATTTTCCGGATTCTGTTCGATTTCCTTGGATTCTTTAAAATTCTTCCGTATTCCCTCACCTTCTTTCGGATTCTTCCACATTCTCCCGGATTCTCCGTTATTTTCTCGTATTTTTCCGGATTCTCCTTGATCCTCTCCGAATTCTTCGGATTTTTTCAGATTTTCTCATATCTTTTCGAAATTTATTCGGTTCTTTGTGGTATTCTCTCGTGTTTTTTCGGATTTTCAGAGAATCAAACAAAATCTGAAAGAATACGCACAGAATCCGAAAGAATACTGGAGAACCCGAGAAAATCCGAGAGAATTCAAAATAATCAAAAAACCCGTCAAAGTTATTAAAAAAAGATAGAATTCGAGAGAAATTGGAAAAATCCACGTGAAACTGGAAAAATTCGACAGAACACAGGAGAATCCGAAAGAATACGGAGGAATCCAAAAGAATCCGAGAGAATGTGAATGAATCCAAGAAAATCGAACAAAATCCGGAAAAATCAGGTATTTTCCGGATTCTGTTCGATTTTCTTGATTCTTTCAAATTCTTCGGGATTGCCTCACATTCTCTCGGATTCTTGCATATTCTCCCGGTTTCTCCGTTACTTTCTCAAATTTTTCCGGATTCTCCTTGATCCTCTCCGAATTCTTCGGATTCTCTCAGATTTTCTCATATTTTTTCGAAATTTATTCGGTTCTTTGCGGTATTCTCTCGTGTTTTTTCGGATTTTCAGAGAATCCAACAAAATCTGAAAGAATACGCACAGGATCCGAAAGAATACTGGAGAACCCGAGCAAATCCGAGAGAATTCAAAAGAATCAAAAAACTCGTCAAAGTTATTAAAAAAAAGATAGAATTCGAGAGAAACTGAAAAAATCCGCGTGAATCTGGAAAAATGGGACAGAACACGGGAGAATCCGAAAGAATACGGAGGAATCCAAAAGAATCCGAGAGAATATGAATGAATCCAGAAGAATTTGAAAGAATCCAAGAAAATCGAACAGAAGCCGGAAAAATCGGGTATTTTCCGGATTCCTTCACATTCTCTAGGATTCTTTCATATTCTCCCGGATTCTCCGTTATTTTCTCGTATTTTTCCCGATTCTCCTTGATCCTCTCCGAATTCTTCGAATTCTCTCAGATTTTCTCATATTTTTTCGAAATTTATTCGGTTCTTTGCGGTATTCTCTGGTGTTTTTTCGGATTTTCAGAGAATCCAACAAAATCTGAAAGAATACGCAAAGAATCCGAAAGAATACTGGAGAACCCGAGAAAATCCGAGAGAATTCAAAAGAATCAAAAAACCCGTCAAAGTTATTAATAAAAAAGATAGAATTCGAGAGAAACTGGAAAAATCCGCGTGAATCTGGAAAAATTCTACAGAACACAGGAGAATCCGAAAGAATACGGAGGAATCCAAAAAAATCCGAGAAAATCGAACAGAATCCGGAAAAATCAGGTATTTTCCGGATTCTGTTCGATTTTCTTGGATTCTTTCAAATTCTTCCGGATTCCCTCGCATTCTCACGGTTTCTTCCATATTCTCCCGAATTCTCCGTTATTTTCTCGTATTTTTCCGGATTCTCCTTGATCCTCTCCGAATTCTTCGGATTCTCTCAGATTTTCTCATATTTTTTCGAAATTTATTCGGTTCTTTGCGGTATTCTCTCGTCTTTTTTCGGATTTTCAAAGAATCCAACAAAATCTGAAAGAATACGCAAAAAATCCGAAAGAATATTGGAGAAACCGAGAAAATCCGAGAGAAATAAAAAGAATCAAAAAACCCGTCAAAGTTATTAAAAAAAAAAGATAGAATTCGAGAGAAACTGGAAAAATCCGCGTGAATTTGGAAAAATGCGACAAAACACGGGAGAATCCGAAAGAATACGGAGGAATCCAAAAAAAACCGAGAGAATGTGAATGAATCCAAGAAAATCGAACAGAATCCGGAAAAATCAGGTATTTTCCGGATTCTGTTCGATTTTCTTGAATCTTTCAAATTCTTACGGATTCCCTCACATTCTCTCGGATTCTTCCATATTCTCCCGGATTCTCCGTTATTTTCTCGTATTTTTCCGGATTCTCCTTGATCCTCTACGAATTCTTCGAATTCTCTCAGATTTTCTCATATTTTTTCGAAATTTATTCGGTTCTTTGCGGTATTCTCTCGTCTTTTTTCGGATTTTCAGAGAATCCAACAAAATCTGAAAGAATACGCAAAGAATCCGAAAGAATACTGGAGAACCCGAGAAAAATCAAAAGAATAAAAAAACCCGTCAAAGTTATTAAAAAAAAAGATAGAATTCGAGAGAAACTGGAAAAATCCGCGTGAATCTGGAAAAATGCGACAGAACACGGGAGAATCCGAAAGAATACGGAGGAATCCAAAAGAATCCGAGAGAATGTGAATGAATCCAGAAGAATTTGAAAGAATCCAAGAAAATCGAACAGAATCCGGAAAAATCAGGTATTTTCCGGATTCTGTTCGATTTTCTTGGATTCTTCCGTTATTTTCTCGTATTTTTCCGGATTTTCCTTAATCCTCTTCAAATTCGTCGGATTCTCTCAGGTTTTCTCATATTTTTTCGAAAATTATTCGGTTCTTTGCGGTATTCTATCGTCTTTTTTCGGATTTTCAGAGAATCCAACAAAATCTGAAAGAATACGCAAAAAATCCGAAAGAATATTGGAGAAACCGAGAAAATCCGAGAGAAATAAAAAGAATCAAAAAACCCGTCAAAGTTATTAAAAAAAAGATAGAATTCGAGAAAAACTGGAAAAATCCGCGTGAATCTGGAAAAATGGGACAGAACACGGGAGAATCCGAAAGAATACGGAGGAATCCAATAGAATCCTAGAGAATGCGAATCAATCCAGAAGAATTTGAAAGAATCCAAGAAAATCGAACAGAATCCGGAAAAATCAGGTGTTTTCCGGATTCTGTTCGATTTTCTTGGATTCTTTCAAATTCTTCCGGATTCCCTCACATTCTCTCGGATTCTTCCATATTCTCCCGGATTCTCCGTTATTTTCTCGCATTTTTCCGGATTTTCCTTGATCCTCTCCGAATTCTTCCGATTCTCACAGATTTTCTCATATTTTTTTGAAATTTATTCGGTTCTTCGCGTTATTTTTTCGGATTCTATTGGATTCTCTTGAATTATTTTCAAATTCTTTTGTATTCTCTCGGATTCTCTCGTAATCTCTATCATTTTTCCTGATTCTTTCTGAATTTTGTGGGGTTCTCTCTAATCTTCTCATATTCTTTCGAAATTCATTCGGTTCTTCGCGGTTTTTTTCGGATTTACAGATTCCTTTAAATTCTTTGGAATCTCCACTCATTCTCTCAGATTCTTTCGAAATTTAATCTAAACGTGCTCGCTTCGCTCGTATCCTAAATGCGTGTTTTTCAAACGTTAGAAGAAGCCAAATTATTAAGAACAATTTTATTGTTAATTAAAAGTATAAGTTTCAGATTGTTTGTGATCCCTATAATGTCTCTAGGACTGAAATATCCTGAACACGTGATTTATTATTGTAATTTAACCCGAATAACTTCCCGGAGACACTCGAATGCTTAAAATGGGCCCGTTCATTAATTTTTTTGAATCACCCTGTATAAGTAATTGTAAAAATAATGAATGCATTGATAAGCCACAAGAATGGACTTTATTTATACCGATACGATACGAAGCGATAAATGACAAGGACGAAAATATAAATTTCATATGCCTAAGAAAAAGACGGCCACATTTTATCGGTACCGATATTTTATCGTTACAGAAACAAAATCCCGCGAAATATCTACGTCATTACCTCGCTGCTCTCCTCCGACGAGTCGCATATATCCCTCACCGCAGCCCTCTTGTTGCTCGTACTCGTCGTCGTCGTCGTCGCGCTCCCCTTGTTCACCGGCTTCCTCCCTCTCCCCTGCGAGCGGCTCTTCGTCGCGCTCACCTCCTCCTCCTCCTCCAGCAGCGCGAACAGCTGGCCGAACTGCTTCTTCTGCCCGTCGGTGCTGTTGTTCATCGCGATGTTCAGCGCCCTCTGCATCGAGTCGAGCGTGTAGATGGCCATGCAGTCGTGCCTCTCGCAGATGATCCTCAGCTGCTCCAGGTGCCCCAGCACCTGGTCCGAGCTCGGCACCGTCGCGCTCAGCGTCTTCCCGCCCGTCCTTTTCCGCTTGTTCGGCGAGCTCGACGGGTACCTCGTGCTCAGGAGCGACGAGATCAGCTCGGCGACCTTGTCGATGTACTCGTCGCACCAGTACTTGACTATCGTGAAGACGAACAAGTCGCCGTTGTCGCTGATGTCCCTCGAGAACAAGTACTTGACGTAGTCGGCGTTCGGTTTCTCTTGTTTCAGCATGAGGGTGACCGCCGTGAGGGCTTCCGAGTGTTGTTCGTAGTCGAGTTGGGTGACCAGGGGGAGGACCGTGTCGATGGAGATGTCATGGGCGTGGATGAGTTGCCAGAAGAAGAACTGCTCGATGCTCTCCCAGGAGAGGGTGAGTTTGAGGAGGGGGAGGATGTTTTCGCTCTTGAACATCACTAAATGTCCTTGCAGCACTTTACCGACAAGCGTTTGCAACTGTCTGGAGTCTATTGCTGAAATTATCACCCGTATTATTTGAGCGTTATTAACAGTCTGATGCTTGAAATCCCTAAACAAATCAGGCACTATCCACATCATCAATTTCGTATCACTGACGTGGCATGCGACTAAATCGTCTAGTAAACTCGCGTCGATTTTTTTATCACTGTATTGACAATACTCCTTGTACACACTCACTTTCAGCGCGCTCGCCTTCGTCTGGTCCTCGCGTTTGTTCTCTGTCCGGCTCTGCACTTTCAGAAAATACAGAAGGAGATAGCCCACACTGTCCCGGAAGTTGCGCATCTCCGCCGTGAGTTTATACAGCACCTCCTTGCCCTCCTCGTCCTGTTTGGAGAAGTTGTGCAGCGTCTGGAAGAGCACGAACAGCGGCGACTTGATGCTCTCCAACAGCTTCCCCTCGCTGAGCGACTCCGGGAAAAAGTCCTCCCCGAAGTCCTCCTGGATGTAGTGGCACAGCGTCTTCGCGATCACCGGCAGCGCCTCCTCGTCATCCCCCTCGAACGTCACCAAGTTCTGGATGATATCCTCCATCAAGCCGCAGCGCCGTTCCGCGTCCTTCTCCTGGTGGAGCTTCACCAACAAGTCCCCGATCGGACCCTCCACGCTCTCGTCCAGCTTATCCTGCGTCTTCTCCTTCAGCCGCACCTTCGACAGCGGAATATCGTCGTCGTCCTCGTCCGAATCCTCCTCCAACGCGCTGATCGTCAACGGCTGCTCCTCCTCGTCGTCGCTGAACGCCGGCTCGTTGTCCAGCACGTGGTTGTTCACGGCGTTGTTGATCCTGTGGTCGGCCTCGCCGTCGTCGAACCGCGCCGAGTGCGCCTCCTCCAGCCGCGACGACGACTCCGGCGCGCCCGCGTTGCAGAACTCCCGGAACGTCTCCCGCACCATGTTGCGCAGCTCCGGGTCCAGTTTGGCGTTGTCGAAGAGCGGCACCAGCGACGGTACGACGCGCTTCTCGAGGATCTTGCGCAGCGACGAGAAGATGCCGGTGCGCACCTTGTCGGTGAGCGGCTGGTGGAAGTTGGGGATGATGCGGCAGAGGAAGTCGAGGAGGGTCGCCGAGACGGCGGGGTGCGAGCGCATGGAGTGGTGCATGACGAGGATGGCCGGTTCGATGTTCATGATGTTGTCCTTTTCGCTGTCGAAGAAGAGCCAGTCGTAGAAGAGGGCGAGTTTGGCGTTGGAGACGGCGACGCTGGAGGTGCACGTGGTGAGAAGCCAGCCGATGACGGCCCAGCGGGGGATTATGTCGGAGCAGAGGAGTTCGTTGGTCGGGTGGATTACGCCGACGATGAAGCGGATTATGTCGCAACGTAAGCTTTGGGATTCGGGGGTGGCTAAGTATTGACGTTGGAACCAGTCTTGGTAGCGCTTGTGGTTGCCGAAACGCACCTGGAAAAGAAAAAGAGCTGAGGAGTTTGCGGCGGCAATGTGGCTGGCGAGGCGGTGTGACGTCACGGTGTTGGTACGTCACGGGCTGGTGATTGGGTGAAAGGTCGAACCCTTTTAACTATCGTAATGTTTAACTTAATGCTGTTTAATAATGTCTTATGAGGAAACGTCACGAAGCGACTTGCTAAGTATTTTCGAAGGATGACTCGATTACAAATTACAAAAAAATTACATTCTTTTTTAAGTTTCAGCTCACGTCAGAGAATTTAAAAACTTTTTTTTTGAAAATTAAAAAAAAAACATTAAACATCTTTAGGGTCCCTTGTGTTTAAAAAAAAAATTTCAAAAAATCTTGAATCTCCTACCGTCTTTTTTACCGCAGAAAGAATTTCGAAGGCAATTAATGTTATTTTTTAAACATGTGAAAAAATTTTGGGATGACCCTAGTCCTTTAATTTTTGAAAAAATTTAAGCTTTTGGTCCCCTAATGCTTTTTTTTAATATATGAAAGAATCATAAGGCCCCATGGTGTTTTTCTTAATAATGTATATGAAAGAATTTTAGGAATGTCTTGTGCTTTATTTTTGAAAGAATTTCCAGGAATCTTGGACACCCAAATGTCCTTTTTACCGAATGTGAAAGAATCTCGGGACCTTCTGTTCATTTATTTTTACAGAGTTTGAAAGAATCCCTGGGCTGCCTATTGCTTTATTTTTAAGAGTTTTTAAGAATCTGAGGGGCTCCTGTTGTGTTATTTTTTGAAGAGTTTGAAAGAATCTCGGCGGTTTCAGATCATTTATTTCTAAAGAGTTTGAAAGAAAGAATCTTGGGGGCTCCAGTTGTTTTATTTTTAAGAGTTTAAAAGAATCCCCAGGCTCCTAGTTTTATTTTTTAAAGAGTTTGATAGAATCTGGGGCTTCGGTTTTTTTTTAAAAGAGTTTGAAAGAATCTCAGGAGCTCCTGTTGTTTTATTTTTAAAAGAGTTTGAAAGAATCTCAGGGGTTCGTGTTTTATTTTCTCAAGAGTTTGAAAGAATCTGGCGGGTTCCTGTCGTTACATTTTTAAAAGAATTTCAAAGAATCTCGGGGGCTCCTGTTTTATTTTTAAAGAGTTTGAAAGAATCGGCGGAGCTCCTGTTTTATTTTTAAAGGAGTTTGAAAGAATCTCCAGGGTTTCGGTTGCTTTATTTTTAATGAGTTTGAAAGAATCTCGCGGGTTCCTGTCGTTCCATTTTTAACAGAATTTCAAACAATCTCCTGTTTTATTTTTTAAAGAGTTTGAAAGCATCTCAGGGCTTCCTGTTTAATTTCTTAAAGAATTTGAAAGAACCTCAGGGGCTTCTGTTCTTGTATTTTTAAGAGTTTGAAAGAATCTCGGAGGCTCCTGTTGTTGTATTTTTAAAAGAGTTTGACAGAATCTCGAGGGCTCTTGTTTCATTTTTAAAAGAGTTTGAAAGAATTTCATGGGCTCCCATTGTTTTATTTTTAGAAGAGTTTGAAACAATCTCAGGGGTAGTGTTTTATTTTTAAAGAGTTTGAAAGAATCTCGGGGTTTCGGTTGTTTGATTTTTTCAAGAGTTTGAAAGAATCTCGGGGCTTCGCTTGTTTTATTTTGAAAAAGTTTGAAAGAATCTCATGGGTTGCTGTCGTTTCATTTTTAAAAGAATTTCAAACAATCTCGGGGGCTCCTGTTTTATTTTTTAAAGAGTTTGAAAGAATCTCAGGGACTCCCGTTTTATTTATTTATTTATTTTTTTTTTTTTGAAGAAGTTGAAAGAATCGGCAGAGCTCCTGTTCTATTTTTAAAAGAGTTTGAAAGAATCTTGGGGGCTCCTGTTGTCTTATTTTTTAGAGTTTGAAAGAATCGCCACGGTTTCGGTTGTTTTACTTTTAAAGAGTCTGAAAAAATCGCGCGGGTTACTGTCGTTTCATTTTTAAAAGAATCTGAAAGAATCTCGGGACTGCAGTTGTTTTATTTATAAGAATTTGAAAGAATCCCAGGGGCTGCTAGTAATTTTTTTTAAGAAACTGAAAGAATCTCGGGGGCTCCTGTTTTATTTTTTAAAGAATTTAAAAGAATCTCAGGGGCTTCGTTTATTTTATTATTTTTATTAAAAGAGTTTGAAAGAATCTCAGGGACACCCGTTTTATTTATTTATTTATTTTTTTTTTGAAGAATTTGAAAGAATCGGTGGAGCTCCTGTTTTATTTTTAAAAGAGTTTTGAAAGAATTTCGGGGGCTTCGGTTGTTTATTTTTAAAAAAGTTTGAAAGAATCTCAGGGGCTCCTGTTGTTTTATTTTTAAGAGTTTGAAAGAATCTCAGGGGTTCGTGTTTTATTTTTTAAAGAGTTTGAAAGAATCTCGGGGTTTCGGCTGTTTTATTTTTAAAGAGTTCAAAAGAATCTCGGGAGCTTCGTTTGTTTTATTTTTTAAAGGATTTGAAAGAATCTCGGGAGCTCCTGTTTTATTTTTTAAAGAGTTTGAAAGAATCTTGCGGGTTTCTGTCGTTTCATTTTTAAAAGAATTTCAATGAATCTCCTGTTTAATTTTTTAAAGAATTTGAAAGAATCACAGGGGCTGCTGTTGTTGTATTTTTAAAAGAATTTAAAAGAATCTCGGAGGCTCCTGTTTTATTTTTAAAAGAGTTTAAAAGAATCTCGGAGGCTCCTGTTTTATTTTTAAAAGAGTTTGAAAGAATCTCGGCGGCTTCGTTTGTTTTATTTTTTAAAGAATTTGAAAGGATCTCGGGGGTTCCTGTCGTTTCATTTTTAAAAGTATTTGAAAAAATCTCGGAGGCTGCAGATTGGTCTTATTTTTAAGAGTTTAAAAGAATCCCGGGGACTGCTAGTTTTTTTTTTTAATTTGAAAGAATCTCGGGGGCTCCTGTTTTACTTTTTTAAGAGTTTAAAAGAATCTCAGGGGCTTCGTTTGCTCTATTTTTTAAAGAATTTGAAAGAATCTCCAGGGCTTCGGTTGTATTATTTTTTAAAGAATTTGGAAGGATCTCTGGGGTTCCTATCGTTTCATTTTTAAGAGTTTGAAAGAATCCCGGGGGCTGCAAGTAATTTTTTTTAAGACTTTGAAAGAATCTCAGGGGCGTTGTTTTATTTTTTAAAGAACTAGAAGGAATCTCGGGGGCTTCTGTTGTTGTATTTTAAAACAGTTTGAAAGAATTTCGGGGGCTCCTGTTTTATTTTTAAAAGAGTTTGAGAGAATCTCGGGGGCTTCGTTTGTTTTATTTTTTAAAGAATTTGAAAGAATCTCGAGAGCTGCATTTTAAGAGTTTAAAAGAATCCCGGAGGCTGCTAGCAGTTTTTTTTAAGAATTTGAAAGAATCTCGGGAGCCTCGTTTTTTTTTAAGAATTTGAAAGAATCTCGGGAGCCTCGTTTTTTTTTAAGAATTTGAAAGAATCTCGGGGGCTTCGGTTGTTTTATTTTTTAAAGAGGGGACTCCTATTGTTTTGTATCTTATGTTTTCTCGACGTTTAATGACCCCTAGAGGACGAAAAAATAGTCCTGCCAGTTCTGGCTGCAATCTGTCCGGATTTTTTCCTACAAAATTAATCTTCTTTTTTACGATAACCCGTCTGCGCTGGCTAAAAATAAACAAGCACGCCACAACATAAACTTCAAGCAAAATTTACTCAGCAAATTTTGCGATGACGTCATCAAAATTTCGGTGGGATGAACAAAGCTGTACACATAAAATTTCACAATAGATAATAATGGATTACTGAAGTGTGGAAAAACCGCGAACTAAGACATTCGTCACAATGGCCCCATTATAGTACTCCCTCAGTTAACACAATAAATTAGCCACCCTAGATAGCATAGCGCTTGAATAAATAACAGAATGAATGAATGTTGCTTAACCTTAATTATGTTAGCCACCGTTTCACATCGAATTCCTCACTTTGGCTGAAATCATAATTTTCGCATTCCTAGCAATCTGATATTCAATTCCTGTAAAATAATATTAGTTCACTTGTAGTGAACAGTGAACGTTCCAAAGTTGTAAAGCATAGTCGGAAGCCCATAATAATTAAACTTCATTAAATCCGAACGTAATAAAGCAAAATTCTGAATTAAAGTTTTCTGTCGACGTGCTCGTGCACGAGTTTACGCAAACCAACTCGATACTTTTTTCGGAAGAAATGTCGTCCGCAACCAAGCTCCGCCCCTTATTTTACGATGAATACACTCATTACGGGGTGGGTGGGTGGGGCACGTGTATTTTTTCTTTCTAGCTACGTAATCCACTTTCGACAATACCGCGTTTCCGACACCTTTCAGATGCTGATTTCTCGTACAGAACATCTCATTTGCCACGAAGCTCCGCCTCCCATCTCAAAATGAATAAAAAATGCTCATCAGAGTCGATAATTCTGAAGCGGGTGGGCGATTCATCTGGATGTTTTTTTCCAAAAATAGTCCTCGTTTTTCAATGGTAAACTGGTTATGCATACGTATATTTTTACAGCCGAGTTACGCTTTTCATTCCATGACCATTAACAGAGTGAGTTAAGACAGAAATGGGGCAACAATTACGCGATAAATTTACACTTGGTGGATTTTCTGTAATTTTCGAACTAATCCGCCTATTTGCTTAATAAATATTTGGCTAAACCTCCCTCGACGTTGTTTAGCGGAATTATTTGATTTAGTAATTGTTTTGAACGAAGATACCTTAAAACGAAAGTCGCGATTATATTTTTATACGGTGCGGTGCTGGGTTTTTGACTTTCCATACTAAACATCCAAATTTTTGGAAAATTTTGTAAACGTTTTTTACAATTTAATCGTTTATCTTCTGCCAAAAAATTGATGACGTCATCTCAAAAATTGCCTAAGATACAAACTATTTTGACTCTGGATCAAATGCACTCATAGTTTTTAGAATTACTTATACAGGGTGACACAAAAAATTAATGAATGAGGCAGTTCATTGTATTGATTAAATCTTACAATTTTTTGAAAAATCTGGATTTATTTACCCTCGA